GCCAACAAAATATTCAAAGAATGTCATGCTTGATTTTGCAGGAATGATTGGAACAAATCATAATTTAAGTTTTGAACAGGTAATTAAAAAAGTAGATTTAGTTGTTGACAAAATAACTTTTAAATTAGTTGATATTAAAAAGTTACCTGAAGAAAATGTTACAAGATTAGAAGCGGAAGAGTTTCTATAAATACTCACTAAATTGATTTACAACTGTGCTAATATTGCAGAAAAGATAAAAAATAAAGAATTAGATGATATAAAAATTATAAAAAAGATCAATCTAAGTTATTTGATGATCTTTATATGAACTATAAAAGCTCAACTCAAAAAGATGTTCTTATTTACGTTAAAATATCAGATAGAGCTATAATAGACCCTATCCCGATAAAACCATTTTATTTTATTGATTTTGCAGATCGTTACTTGCATCCCGCAAATTTAAAAATTCCTATAATTTAGTTATTTCTAGTTTTATAAGAAAGGCCGTTCAAGTTCACTTGGAATATTCATCTTATTAAAATTTTCATTTATTAAAATTGTTGTTATTTTGATTTTTAACCCCAAATGGATTCAAATGAATTTAAAGAAGAATATAAGTTAATTGATAAATTTACAGAATTTTCTTTACTTCCAGAAAGTTTCTTTAATGATTATTTAGGTTTAATATTTTTTGCCTATGGATTGGAAGTTGATGAAATAGTAAAGAGAGTTGAGAAAAGAATTAAAACAATTACTATTAACTCACAAAAACTTTCAAAAATATCACCAGATGATAATATTAAAATAGAAGCAGGGCGTGTTATTAAAAAGTTTGTTAAGTTATTATATAACTGCATCGATTACTATTTTTGTAAAAAGAAAGGTGATGATACTAAGTTAGATGATTTATATAACAAACAAACTCGATTATTGAATGAATTAAAAGAGACTAATGAATTGTTTAATGAAAACAACAAGAATGTTGTTTATTTTTATAGTCTTAGTGATAAAAATGATTTAGATATTGAAGTTAAATTAAGACACATGATAGACTTTGTAGAAAAGTATGTACATCCAATTGAATTACCTAGATTTTATTTTAAAATTATAGAAACACTAATTAATCATTCGGTCACTTATTACAACATACACAAAAATTTTATTGATGTTAAATAAATTTTTATTAACGTTTTAATTTATCTTTAGTCTGTTTATTAAATTAAAATTTAATAAAAAGTTTTTTAAAATAAATAAATAAATAATATAGCGTGTTATAAGTTTAGTTAACAATCCTAAAGTTTTAAATATAAAATATCAAAATTATTTTTATTAGAAAAATATTTTATAATGTGTTATTAATAAAAATTCTTTATGAATATAAAACAAAACCTTTATTTATCATTTAATTTAAATCAATAAGATGATTAATCACTTTGAAATATAATAAATTTTTAGAGATTATTAAATTGATTTGATAATTTTATTTTGAGATAAAGATAATTATATTTAATAAAAATCACTAAAATCAATTTTTTTTCCATTTTTATTAAAAAAATAACATATCAACTTTTATTATAATCTTTCAAATAATTTAAATAAATATGTAAGAATTAAATGGAAATTATCATTTAAATAAAAATATTTTATTTTAAATTAATTTAACACCCATGAATTTTTTCAATTTATTATATACAACAATAAATGAAGATAGTGTTTTAAAAAGAAAAAATATTAAGTTAATAGATTATGTAAATTCTCTAGAACTAGAATTGAAGAATTTAGAAAGTAAGGGGAAAAACAAAAAATATTTTGAAAGGCTAAAGAATGAAAATTCTTATATAACAAGAAAATTAAATTGAATTTTAATCGCAGAGAAATAAGGAAGTTGATTCTAAGTGAGAAAAATGTTACAAAGCATGCATTATGTAATATTGGTATTGATAAGAATCCTGAAATAAAAGAAGATAGAATTCGTTTGCAAAAATTTAAAAAAAGATTTAAACTAAGAGAATTAAGCAAAGAAGAAGAAGAAAATTTAGAGGAAATTTCACACAGTGAAGAAATAGATTTAAAAGAATATGATAAGTTTTTAAGTACGATGCTAGTTGTATTTCGTATTGAATATGACTTGTGTGTAATTTATTATTTGAATATTCTAATTATACATGATTTAGATAATGTATTATTTAAACAAATAAAGCATAGTTTTTATAATTTGGAAACCAATTTATTTAAAATTGATTTAAAAATCGATTTGATGAAATTAGATGTAATCAGAGAAGATTTTAATTTGGAAAACTCAAGAAATAACATTTATAACATTTGTAACATAAGATTAGAATTATGGAGACATGTTTTTAAGATATTATCATGTTCATTGGAATATTTTAAAGGTGATTCAAAAGAATATTTTCAAAAGAAGTTAACTTATTTTTTAGAAGAATTTGAAAAAATTTTCGATGAATGTGAATATCCATCAAAATCATAATAAATTTTATTTAATAAATTTATAACTACTTTTAAAATCAGTTAAAAAATTAAACATATTTTATAATTTGTATTAAAAAATGAAAATCTTTTAATGAAAATAAAATAAACAAATCAATTATTATTTAGGAAAAAAACAATTATTCATGATTTTAAAATAGATTATTTTAAATAATTTGATTTATAAGACTTTCTTTTTATTTCTAACTAACTAAATTTATAAAAAAAAGTTAAATTTTTAGAAACAATTAACCAATTTAATTTAAATCTTAATAATTTTTAAATTTGTTAATAAATATAAATTTTATAATTTTAATATATTAAAA